AAGACATTGTAAATGCATCATTAAGTCCATCTTACATTTGAGAAAAATGCAAAGTCCTAAGATTAACTAAGAACATGAGGCTAACTGCAAACAGTGAGAGTTCATAAATTGAACAAACAAGAGATTTTGCAAAATGGATTTTGAACTTAGGAGAAGGAAAAGTTGGAGGTGATAATGATGGAGAGGCAGTTATTGAAATACCTCATGATCTTCTCATTACCGATTCCGTCGATCCTAAATCTGCAATAATTAAATTTGTCTATCCCTCAATCCTTGAAAACATCAACAACTCAGCTTATTTTCAAGAATGAGCAATATTTGCACCAAAAAATAAAGTCGTTCATGAGATAAATGATTGTTTGCTGTCATTGTTCCCAGGAGAAGAAAAGGAGTACTTAAGTTCGGATACGCTATGTGAATCAGAGCACCTTCATGATGAGTTTGATAAAACTTTGTACTCTCCTGATGTTTTAAATGGTCTTAAATTATCAAGGATACCAAACCATAAGATTTTACTAAAAGTTAGTGTTCCTATCATGTTACTCAGAAATACTGATCAAAAATCTGGATTATGTAAAAGAACTAGATTGCGGGTGTTAACATTGGGAAAGCGAGTGATAAAAGCACAGGTTACATCTGGAAGCAATATTGGAAACCGTACACTCATTCCAAGAATGTCTCTGACACGTACAGACAAAAAGATATCATTCAAATTTCAAAGGAGACAATTTTCAATTGTTGTATGTTTTGCCATGACCATAAATAAGAGTCAAGGACAATCATTATCAAAAGTTGGTTTATTTCTAAAATAATCGATCTTCACCCATGGTCAGTTATATGTTGTTTTATCCAGAGTTAAAAGCAAACAAGTTTAAAAGTACTAATTATGGATGATGATGGTATTATTGACAGTAGAACAACGAATGTTGTATATAAAGAAGTGTTTAGTAATATATGATACATGGTTCTAATTTTATTAATATTTTACCTTATTACTTTTCATTAGTTTCATTTATGTTCTGTTATAAACTTTATTTTATAAGTTCCTCATATTTACTCATATTGTTATTAATTCTTTAGAGGATTATTTTTCATTTATATTCTGCATTATAATATAATTATCCGGCCATAGAGGCTCTGCATGGACTACGCAGCTCCTCTAAGCCTCACTCCATACTTCATAAACAGCTTTAGAGAGGCTTTGTATGTACTACGCAAAACCTCTGACGCTCACTCCGTGTTTCATACAGAGCTTTACAGAGGCACTGCAGGTACTACGCAACGCCTCTATTACTGCTTTTGTGCTTCATGCAGAGCTACACAGCGGCTCTGCGTCCTCTGTCTACGGAAGATTTATTCAGACTTAGAAGACTATGATTAGTATAGGTGTAACATTTGATGAAGAATCAATGCTCGACAAGCCATCCGATCCTAATTCTTAAGAGAATTGTATTTCGAAAGAAAAGGCAAATTACACAATCTCGAGTGAAGGTTAAGATTCCAATTCGCATCAACCGTGAAGAGATGAAGATGAATTGATGGTGTACCTTCTATTGAACGTCGACAATATGCTTATTGTAGCCAAGAGCAAAGAAGAAATCCAAGTTAAAGATCAATTGAATGAAGAGTTTGAGATGAAAGATTTGGGGCATGCATGAAGATTCTTGGAATAGAGATCATTAGAGGTTGAAATGCAGGCACTTTGATTCCAAGTCAAAGAGACTACACTGAGAAGGTGTTGAAGAGATTCAACATGATTCGTGCCAAGGCAGTCTCTACTCTGTCAGCTCCTCATTTCAAGTGTTGTGAGATCATTGATATATGCAATGATATGTACATGACCCGATTTGTCCTATGTCGTGACCATGGTAAGCCGTTTTATGGTCAACCTGGGAAAGAAGCATTGGAAGGCGGTGCTATGGAGCTTTAAATACCTGTCCGGTACTAGAGATACTTCTTTGCATTATGGAACATCTAGAGATGGTGTTGTTGGGTACGTTGACTCGGACTATGGGAAAGACTTGGATGTGCGTCGTTCTCTTACGGGCTATGTTTACTATTGGCTCGTGTGCGCTTAGTTGGAAGGTCGTTTTGCAACCTAAGGTTGCTTTATCTACTACTGAAGCCGTGCATCTGGTCTGGCTATAACGGAAGCGTAAGAAAAAATAAAATAACATAAAATTTGAAGAGGACTTCAACCCAAGACATTCATCAAGTTAGCAAGTAAGAACCGATCCATATCTTCAAAACCACTTAGGGATTTTTCTGGCCTTTATCTTCAAGACTACATGGGATTAGTCGAGGTGGGCGCAAACTTGTCCGCACACCAATGGTTAAGAAAAAATGTAAGATCCAGTAAGATGATCTGAGCGATCATCCACCAAGTTCTCCACGAGTTGGAACAACGGGAACTAGAAAGTTCCCAAATGGTGAATCGAATATTCTGAAATTCGCTTTGGACCCGTCTTGTTGAGCCTGTGCAACTGCATGATTCTTTGCCATTTGAATCCTCGGATCAATGGCTACTCTCGTTTGAGCCACATTAACCTATAGTTACATCTTACCGATTCATATAAGCATGTATAAAATTGCATAACAGTGTCAAAAGACAAGAATTCAAAAGAAAATGCATACCGTTGGCTTAATCGTCGAAGTTGTAACCGCATGATCTTTCGTTTCGGCTGTTGAAGGGGTTGCCCTAGAATTGAAGATTTGCAGCCTTATCATCAAAACATGCATTACTTGAATCAAGAACATACAATCAATACTACGCCATTTGTGATTGTTTGCCATATTTGAATTCCCATATTTTATCGCCAAATAACGATCCAATTATGATTCACAACAAAAAATCACTGACGAACCTTTGGACAAGCAATCAATCAATTAGAAGAAATACAATCAGTTGCCAGGATCCGAGAATTTGAAAGAAATTTTAGCTATGAATCAAATCCCTAAAATCAGAAAAACAACAATCACGCAATCAGTATTCAGAATTCTGTGTTGAAAGTCAGATTTTGATGTATTTCAACATCATGATGACTTCTTAATGCCATTTCCCCATTTTGTAGACCAAAAAGTAATTTAATTAACCAAGAAGAAGGTATGAAATAAATAACTAATAAGAAAACCAAAAAATAGAGCTTTAATTGTTACGCAGATTACTGACCGGCGAGGAGGTGGACGGAAAACTTTCCTCTTCTTAATTTCAGGTTCCATTACCTTTCACGAGCTCTCCGGAATTCTCCGTTCATAAACCCTAATCGAGAGGTTGAAGACGATGAGTTTTTAAATCACCGAAGCCGAAAATTTTGCAAGATTAATCAATTTAAAGGACCAAATAAGCCCAAACCTTTTAATACATGGAAAGCCCAATTCCTGGCCCGGCTATCTTGGATAAAATATTTTTTTTATTAACATGAATATCTAACCCACTATGCGAGCCAACTAATTTCAGGGAGACCATTTGATTTGCAGATAGTCCGGATTGACCGCATTTGAACCTTCGTGGCCACAAGGGGATTTTTATTTCTTCTTGGATTTGAACCTGAGATCTCCTGGTACTTTTGACCTCTAGAGTCAAACTCAAATCAATCAGGCACCACTCTTGTGGTTTAGATTTTTTTTAGGGCAAAATGCACAAAATAGCAATCAACTTTCATAAATTTCTTTATTATAGCATTATACTTTTAGTTTTTCTTATTACAGCAATGTACTTTGAAACTATTTTTTATTAGAACATTGTACTTTGAAAAATTTACCCATTATAACATTGTGTAACCTTTTGATTTAAATTTACTCATTATACTAAGTTTTCATGCCACCTCATTGTCCACGTAGGCTGTCCACATGTACTATAGTGATGTGACTTTCTTACTACAACATTGTACTTTCAAAATTATTTTATTATAGCATTTACTAGTTCTTATTAAACACTGTATTTTTAATTTTAATATTTAGATATTTTACATGTTATTTAATAAATGTATTAAAAAATTCTAAATTATTCATTAATATACCAATATCAATAAAACTAGTAGAACACAACTTATCTCGCTAACATTTTTAAAAAATATGTGTTTTTTAAAAAATGGAAAATAAGAATTGTTCTTTTTTTACCAAAAAATATTATTTTTTAAAGAATATATTATATTTGTTCAAAAACTTTTTACTTGACGAATAAATATATTAAATTAATTACTTTTTTGAATTATTTATTAATATAACAATATTAAAAAATTATAGATAACAATTTATTTCGTTAATATTTTAAAGAGAACTTTAAAATATATGTATTTATTTGAACAACATAAAATAGGAAAAGTTACTTTTTTTACAAACAAAATATATCTCGAAAATAATGTTTCATATTTATTTAATAAATATTTAACTCTAAGAATATTTAATTTGAATGCAACTTAATAAGAAAAAGTAAAAAAAAATTAAATGTTTTTTAGATCATAGCAATGAAAAATGAAAATCACTAATAATAATTTGAAATAGGTTTTTATTTTATTTTAGTTAAATCATCAAAATGATGTGGCATCCACATCACCTCATTAAAACCACACAAGCAAAAAAGTCAATGGGTTAACCGGTTTAAAAGATAACAGGTTATTCATTGCTATGATGGGTAGATTTTTTAAAGTACAATGTCTTAATAAAAAACAATTTGAAAGTACATTGTCGTAATAAAGAAAAACAAAAGTAGAATGTTATAATAAGAAATTTTATAAAAGTAGGTTGTTATTTCATGCATTTAACCCTTTTTTATTTGTGTTGAAAAAGAAAATAATTTTTCATGTTATTAAAAAGACAAGAAAAGAAATTAAAGATGTCATTTTTACTAACATACCCTTTAAAAACATAACCTTTTGAAAGTTGTATAATTTTAATATAAAAAAAAAAATTAGAGTTTTAATGTCCCTTTCCTTCATAAATAATGGTTCCGAGAACACGTACAAGGGTGAGAAACTGTTTTCTTAAGAGAAAATTTAATCATGAATGATCCAAACGAGATCATGGGAATGTGGATTGTGGGGTATGTAACGAATTTTTTTTTTTTTTTGAAGTATATAATATTTATATACGGCAAATGCAACAAATAAACTCACACCCCCTCCTCACCTATGGTGAGATTTGAACCTCTGACCTCCAAAAAGCCAAGGGCTACGATACTGCTAGGCCAAAGGTCCTTTGATAACACGACTTTCTATCAGTATTATCAACGATGGTGTTTGTTGATAATCTTATAAATGAAGCAAATATACCAAATGTAAAGGGTTAAAGTTGTAGGTTTGAAAAAGACTCGGATCAAACAAATAAAAAAATCCGGACCTTTTTATCTCAAGGAAAAGTCTAAAAAAACACAATGGACTTTAGTGTTTAGAATGATTAAGTCATTCGATAATTTTTTGGAACAAATAAGTTCTTGGACATTTCAAAACATGTTAAATAACTCATTAGACTTTCTAAAACATGTTAGATACATTCTTATGACATATACAATTGGTTAATGTGGTAAAATAATGCAAAAAGTCAGAAAAAAAAACAATAGACTTTCATATTTTGAACGATTAAGTCTCTAAACATTTTTTGAACCAAAAAAATACTTGCATCTATAAAATGAAACAAATATGTCAAATGTCCAGCTTCGCAAAAAGGCAGCAATTACTAGCAGCTTATTGATCACTGAAAATTACAATATTTAATTAAATACGCAATTTAATATAATCATTAAAATAACTTTGAATAATAACAAAATAAGGGAATAATAACAAATACAAAAATTGCAGTCTTGAACCATATGTGAGTTGTTATTGTGTGAAAGCTGGCTCCTAATTTGTTCCACCCTTTTGAATGCATATCTATCAAATTTCACACCATTTCTATATAACAAATCTCTCTTCCATTTCACTTGTTCCATCCAACAAAAAGATTCAATGGAAACAAGAACTAATTCTTGGCTTTTTGCAGGTATGATTCAATCAGCAATAAGGGTGGTGGTAATGGGGATTTTCTTGGGGTACATGAGCATATGGGTGATGATGCCTACAAGCACATATTGGCTACATTGGTTGCCCCATATCCATTCCGCCACTCGTTCAACCTATTTCGGCCAACAACAAGGTTTGTCTCCCTCACCGTTGCCAAATCACATGCTTATGCAGTCCTTGCTAGTAGCTCGCTTTTTAAAACTAGTTTAGGCAAACTAATAGCATGCTACAGATATGAAGCTGCAACCTAGGAGGCTGGCCGAATAGTGTTCAAAACACGCCTACGTGCGATCACCTAGTAGACAGGCCACATACCGTTCAAGTTAAGCGTCGTTGATGACATATGTTATATGTGCAGGAGGGAATATTCTAATTTACACAACCCCAGTCGTCCTTATTGCAACTTTGGCATGTACATACCTTCACCTGGAAAACAAGTCTGCCCACCATCCAAACAATCAAAGGTAATCAGTCGTATCCTAATTTTAGACGTTTCTAGTGGGCGGTACTCAGAATCTTCTTTACCAAGTCAAATTTTATGATTTTTTACTATATGCAAACAAACGTTCAGAGTCTCTTTTTTCAATCGCACACTTTTCATGGAGACAAACGTTCTACTCATTGGGGTAAAGGTCAGTCCCACCCCTGGTGGAATATAAAGGGATTGTTTGGTTTTGTTTGGCTTGAAATATGAAAATTAGAGAAAATAAGTGATGTTTCACCTTTCTTATTAATGTTGGCAAGTATCTCCAAGAACACTCCAATGGCATTATGGAGAAGACCAGCAATCGTGAGAGGGCCTCTTGGGATTGTTACTTGGACAGAGCTATTGTTTCTCTTGATGTTCATGGCACTTTTGATTTGGTCTATCTCAGCTTACATACACGCCATGTTTGCCACCATCACGACCCAATCTGCATCCAGGATGGGAGAAAAAGTGTAAGCAAACTCTTCTCAGAATACTCTTATATTTGTATGAAACATCCATATATTAAACAGATTACTTTTTTGGCAGGTGGGAAGTGAAGTTAGACAGTGTAGGTCTAATGCTGGGACTTGCTGGTAACATATGCCTAGCTCTTTTGTTCTTTCCAGTGACCAGAGGGTCATCAGTGCTTAGGCTCATTGGTCTTACATCGGAATGTAGCATCAAGTATCACATATGGCTCGGACATACTACTATGGTTTTCTTCACTGCTCATGGTTTATGTTATACCATTTTCTGGGCTAAAACAAACCAAATTAAACAAGTACGAAAATCTCCTTACTCCTCTAGTGTATTTGCTTCACCCCTATGATATTAAATTATGTACGCTTAATAACCAAAGCAAACAAACCCAGTATATCCCACCTGAAGATAGGGTCTTGGGGGATGTATGCAGACATTACTCTGTCTCAAGAAGGGGCGTTTACAATACGCTTACCAGCAAGAGATATAACTCACTTACCTTATCGTGTAACATTCTCGGTCATTAAAATGGATTGTCAGAAAGCGTCTTAAAACCGGTAAGCGTTTTCCGGGTAAGAGTCGTTTCCCTCACTTACCGAGAAAGACTCCCAGTGAGATTCTTGGTTTTTGCTGTACTCAATCTGCAAGATAAGTAACATCAGTAACCAGACAAGTGTTTGGTCAACGGCCCCTAAATTGTGTACTTTTATCACTCAAAAGTATTTCCACTGTCAGCTCATGAGAAAAAGCTTGGCAAGCCCAAGCTCATCTGAGTATAGCCATTTGACTAGCCGAGCAGAGCCTAGCATTGCTTGGGCTTGGTAGGTCGCTGAACCTAAATGAGCCCTACACGATCCACTTAACATAATACATATATTTTTAAGTTGCTATGTTTAGCCTCTTGAGGACTGCTAATCATTCCTCCATTTCAAAAAAAGTGTCCACATTTCTATATTAGTTTGTTCCAAAAAATAAGTGTCAACTTTCAAAAGGGCTTACTTTCCAATTCTACCCTTAATTATGATATGAAGAAATTCATCATCACCTCTACTATTAAGGGTAAAATTGTTATTTAGTTAATTAGAAAGTGTATCAATTACAAATTTCTAATACCGTGTGCCTTTTCATTATAGACATTTATTTTGGGAAGGAGTATAATATTTTGAGAGATTTCCATATGTAATTTTATTTATATAGTTTACTTTTAATTTTATAGCCCCACATACTAAAATTGCCTATATATCTCAAGCAAAGACTCAGGTTTATACAAGCCCATAAAAACCAAGAATTTACAAGCTGAGGTTCGGTCTTTTGGCCAGCCAATCCCCAAGCCTACAATTTTTTCACAAGCTTGGGCTAAGCTGGGCTTAATAAAATACACCACTAAAACAATCCTAAAAGCTAAGATCACTTATGTCTAATACAGATGGTGAAATGGGAGAAAATTGGCATATCAAATGTAGCAGGAGAAGTAGCTTTGCTTACAGGAATTGCAATTTGGTCGACGACCATACCTCGTATTAGGAGAAGCATCTTTGAGCTCTTTTTCTACACGCATCATCTCTACATTCTCTTTGTGGTATTCTTTATACTACATGCTGGATTTTCTTATTGTTGGATCACGCTTCCTGGCTTTTACCTCTTTCTCATAGATCGCCTCCTACGATTCCTGCAATCCCAGCAAAAAGTTCGCTTAGTTTCAGCACGAGTATTACCATGCCAAGCTGTTGAATTGAATTTCGCCAAAACCCCAGGTAATCTGCAGAAATTCCATGGCTTTGATACAATGTACTGTGCTCAGCTCAAACACTTTCCAGCCAGGGCCCAAACCTTCCAAGCCAGCTTTTAGTAAGCAAATATCCTGAGACGTTCCGGCTTTGGGTACAAAAATGGGCCTGATCAGGCTTATCCAGACTTTTCAGGCCAAGCTTTAAACCAGACCTTAGAAAAACTTGGCATGATCAGGCTTTTTGCCTAGACAGGACTCACTAAGGCCGGGGGTTTTCTGTGCATCTCTAAAGAATGACCTCTCAAGAAAGAACTGCCAAAACTTCATGGAATCACATTCAATAGCATCATGTTTTCGATTTGCAGGGCTACATTACAACTCAATGAGCTCAATCTTCATAAACATACCTAGTATATCAAAACTCCAATGGCATCCATTTTCGATAACCTCCAGCAGCAATTTGGATCTTGAGAAGCTAAGCGTCGTTGTCAAAAGCGAAGGAACATGGTCACAGAAGCTGTATGAAGAACTCTCCTTGCCTTCACCGATCGACCATCTTCAAGTCTCTGTCGAAGGACCTTATGGACCTGCATCAACCAATTTTCATCAGTAAGCAAAATATAAACTCAATAAATTAAGGTTCAGAATGTTGATTAAATAGATATACATAATGCAGGTATGACAACCTCGTGATGTTCAGTGGCGGAAGTGGAATCACTCCATTTATCTCCATCATCCGTGAGCTTCTATACATAGCTAACGAATCCAGCAATTCACCACAGGTTCTTCTTATACCAGCCTTCAAGAAATCAGCAGATCTTGCAATGCTAGACCTTCTCCTTCCTCTATCAGGCACCAGCCATGATCTATCTCGCTTGCAGTTACAAATCCAAGCATACATAACACAAGAGAGAGGGCACACAACAGAAGAACAGCAGTTTTACCGAACCATATGGTTCAAGCCCAGTGCTCTTGATGCACCAATTTCTGCAATTTTAGGCAGAAACTGCTGGCTTTGGCTGGGAGTGATAATTGTCTGCTCTTCTGTCATTTTCCTTGCACTCATCGCTCTTCTTACACAATTCTATATATATCCCATTGATCACGATACAAACATGATATATTCATATTCTGTAAGGTCAGCATTTAATATGGTATTGATATCCATGTCTATAGCTACAACTGCAACCATAGCTTTTCTGTGGAACAAGAAAAGAAATTCTACAGAAATGAGGCAGATTCAAATGACAGATGCACCAACGCCAACGACATCTCCAGGGATGAGTTCTTGGTCCTATAATACAGATAGAGAGTTGGAAAGTCTCCCTAGTAAAACTTTCATTGGTTCTACCAAAGTTAACTATGGAGAGAGACCAGATTTCAAGAGTAAGCAAACTCACTTCTCTTTAGATTACTGACTGAATTTATGATCTAATCTATACACAGAATAAGAAGATCANCAGATTTCAAGAGTAAGCAAACTCACTTCTCTTTAGATTACTGACTGAATTTATGATCTAATCTATACACAGAATAAGAAGATCATATCTTTTACACTGTTTGCAACATCGGGTTGGGAGAAGGGAAATTATGGTAAGAAGCGTAAGAAGAGATCTCCAGCCTTGGATCAATCCTAATTGAATGTCAACCTACTGAGGTGCACCGGGATGCACCGGGTCAATTCCCTTCTAAAGCGCAATTCATGGGTGGGCATGAGATTAGAAGTGATCAAGAGTTCACATCTCTTCTTACGCTTCTCATCATAACTTCCCTTCTCACACGATCCTTCACCTTGCAACATCATATATATATAGATATACTTATGTTATCCGTTTGCAGAAATACTAATGGAAACTGAAGGATCCAGCATCGGAGTTCTAGTTAGTGGTCCAAAGAAGATGAGGCAAGATGTAGCAGCAATCTGCTCATCTGGGTTGTCAAAAAGTTTCCAGTTTGAATCTATCAGCTTCAGCTGGTGAGCCAAATAGATAATTTAAGCTCAAATCATATATGATGTGATGGTTCTCCAAAATGTACATTCTATCTAGATGGATGTCATTCTGTGTATTTTAAAAAGATTTTAGAGTACAATGAAACATGCCTCTTTTTCCCGGTGTAAGCAGTTTCTTACCAATTCACCATCAAGCGTGCAGAAAAGCACGACAGCCCATAACTCCAGCCCAGAAGCTGGTAGACGTATCTCAGACCCCTCATGATCCTAAGCCAAATAGATATTATGTTTGCAGAAACTGAAGTTTGCAAAAATTTGGGGCAAGGAGGAATAATAAATAAAAGGGATACCAGCAATCTAGTATACAGATGCTTTGATATTAACAACTGAATGAAAACAAGATGGTAAGGAAATGAAGTCCTGCTATGAGTTAATTTGCTCAGCTTCACATATTAGAGTGGGGATTCCCAGAGAGAATACTCAAAATGGTATTTTCTTGAATTCGATTCAAAATGGTATTCAACCAAATAAGAACAAGACATCAGACAGCACTAAAAATTGTCCTAAATACCACTGCTGATCAGTACCCTAGCAAGTTAATCTAGAAGTAAACTAAAAAAAGTTATAGTAATAAAAAAGGAATATATATAAAAAGACCAGAGGATCAAGAATTCAAAAATCTTATATGTACTAACTAATGATCCTCTTGTCAAACTGACATGGAAAAATGCAGACCTAACCTAAGGCAAAGAAAGTTATCGTTCCCTTTGTAAATCATTTTTACGAAAATCTCCCTCCCCAACTGACAAAGGAGCTGTATCCCTTTCAACTGAATCTTTGAAGCATCTATTTTCATTACGTGCATATCTGAAGCCATTATCAATATTACGAGGGTTGCGAGTCTTGAAAGATTCATCCACATCATACCTACAACGCCTCCCTCCATTCATCATTCCATATTTGTCATCATGTATCATGCTATCGTTACCATTAGCCTCAAACTTCTCTCTATTCGGACCAAGCTGTTGAAATCTCCCAGGACGTGGAGTAGGGCGGAAATGATCATTTGACTTCAATCTTCCAAGATATCCACCTGCTTCAAACTTTTGGTTCCGGTGAAACGTTCTGACTGGTGACGATCTTCTGTCTCTAAATTGGCCATTGATACTGTTCCGGTCATCAAAGCTTCTAGAGATGCATTGTGGAGACATGCGACCCCTTGTTGGAGAGAAAAGACCAGCATCGATTTCACTGGAAGAACTGATCTTCCGTAAAGAAAGTCTCTCTCCCTGAATTCTTACATCAGGTCTATAATCTGGGCTTTGCCTTTTTGAATCCACATTCCTTTTTTTCTGAAAATGCCATGCTATGGGAGACCCTGATCTAGATCTTGACCGAGATCGTCTCCGAGATCGCGAAATATGAGCACCTCGATTGATATTGGAAGAAAAACAACGGACTTTTCTTTCTGAATAAGATGGCTCGAGGTCATGGTATTCTTCTTGAGGGGCTCTCCTCAACCCTTGTAGATGAAATCCAGATCCACCCCTACATCTATCATGGTTAATACCCCTTGCCGGTGGTGTTCCCCTACGAATACCATACGATTCATTTCTGTCAGATGGTGATGGCCTTGCGTTGAAGCTCCTGCAAACCCCCCTCGGATTATAATTTATATGTTCATCACCAGACCTTGCGGCTGAACCTCCAATAACATTTTTGGGCCTGGGGTACCCATGACTGTTTCTTGAATCCCAGCCTCCCACCGAGGAATCACCCCATTGACCACTTGCATCATTTCGGGCATGACCTTGGTAAGATACTCCACCCCTTCCCATGAACTTTTCTGGACCAAAATCCCTCTCAGCTCGCGAAAAAGAATCTCCAATGTTGTCAGATCTGCATGCAAGTGAAACATTAAAAGACAGGAAAACATGACACATTGGGTGTATGAAACACAAAACAAAATAAAATTGCAAAAGTTACCTGCTCCGTCGTATGGAAGCACCATTCTGGCGCATACCAAAAGATGTTGATCTATCAATACAAAGCATACTGGCTCCTGGAAACTCATCATGGGCTTTTTTCCTCCCAGAAAGGAATTTTTCAGGGCTGCCATCCTTTCCTTCTACGATAGCACATTGAGAATGTTCATGCACTTGATACCCAGAGGCTTTAGAGCCCAATAGATGATTTGGTCTCTTGGAGGCATCTGCTTTATGACCTTGTTCAATGTCATTGTTTGGTACAGCAAAGCGTCCATCTTCAATGATTTGGTGACGTTCAATCGATATTTTATTCTTAGCTGATTCAATAGTTTCAAAGTTATCTTCGTATATATTATCAGACTCATAGTCAACACACTCCCTTTCCTCAACTTCATTCTGGTATCTAATTGGCTCTCTTAACTCACCATCTTCAACTGGAGAATCATACCCTGCCTTAACTTTTTCTACCGTATTCCCCTCAGCCATGTGACCCCGCTCATCTTGGGAAACATTTGAGACACAACAATCACTGAGACGATCTTCTGAAATAAGCTTATCATCACCGTCACCTTTCTGAGATAGAGATCCACCTTGTACTACTTCAGAAACAGCAGACTTACTGGAAGGCTCAAAGTACATCGGGAGGTCATGTAAGGTATTTGATTCTACCTTTATAGTGGTTTCTCCTAATGAAACAGAGGCAGTTGAAGTAGAAAAGTTTTCACACTTGGCTGGATGCATAAATGAATCAACTACATCTGATTTACTTAAACAACTCTCAGCATCTGATGTCTTGCACGTAATTGCCTCCACCACCTTCCTTGAAGAAGCAAGATATGTATTTCCAAATGAATCACCATCATTATTTTCTTGAAGACCAGAAATCTCTGGTTTGCTGAGGGGCACAACCGAGACAGCAGCATCATGCTTCCCAAACTGATTCGCATGTCCTGTAACTTGAGATATTCCAGTTTCAGAGCCTTCCAAGTTCGCTTTAGCATTCCGCAAACTATCATCATAAACATCTTTTAAACAACTTTTTTCGGAATGAGGATCAACAAGAATATCACAACAAGGTTCCTCCCACTCATCCATCACAGTGTTCAAGTCCCAATGCAACCGGACTCCTTTTGAAGGAACAGCCCTTTTATCACTCCCCTCATTCTCATTATCACAAAGGTTTTGTGTAGCTGGAAATGTGCTATCTTGAACTGATGAATCATCTGATTCCACTGGGGCAATGTTCTCTTTTATACCATCAGTATTTGAATCTACTCTTGGTGTTGTGTGGTCTTCCATTGCAAAAGACTCCATGAGACCGGACCTATCATAAACAGAACTACAGCATGCAGCAGCAGCAAGAAGTTCGATACCAGAGAAGTCATTCAGATCAGAAACCTCTTTCTCCGTCAGCTTTAAGTGCTCACTGTTGATCAATCCATTCTTCGACTTCATTGCCCAGATGTTAGATGGTGAATTTGGATGGCACTGCTGTCCTGAAGCATGTTTAGTGCCCACAAGCAACTCTAATTCTTGATGGGGAGAGGAAGTCTGAGGTTCAGGTGACCTAGTCCCTTCACCACTGAGGAATGGAGACTGAAGCAAGAGTATTCTTTTCTTTATAGGAACATCAAGTACTTCCTCAGCAAAGTGTTGACCAAGAACGGCTACACCGGACTGAAAATAAGACAGATAAATAAGTAAGATTCAAGCTTTTACAAGAATATAATCCATACTTATATTAAATAAGTGGTAAGTGCTAGTGCTACAAGTAAATACCTTCTCATAATCAAAAACAAAAGAGTCTTGCATTTTATTGCCCAAACCAAGACCAATCTCAGAGCTCCTTGCCCCAGGCCTCCTTGGGCGCCTCTTCGTGTTCCTATGACCCTTTTTAACAGCTTTCCATGTCAAGTCCGAATTAATGAACTTTATAAGCTCCAGGCCCATTCTAGTATATCAGCTACTGTCACAAGGAGACCAATTATTATAAACAGCATCAAACCTTATTACAATTCACAAAATATTATTCTATACAAATCAATCGACCCTGCTATCTGCACCATAAGGTTCAAATATGGGGGATATCCCAACATCAAGGACCCACAAAAGCTGAAATTTCAACTCCAGCTTTATTATGAAAACCTATAGAAGATGGTTTAGTGTATGAACCAGATTTAGTATAGCTGTTTTAAGATGCATCATAAACATTAGTTTGTTCGTAACAAGAAGAAAAGTTGGAAACTAAATTCGTCATAGGTTCTATTGGGATCTCTTTCATATGCAAAATATGTCCCACGAAGAAGTTTTGAGAAGATTGAAATATGTCTCCCTATGTGATTAGATCTGGAAAATCCTATTTGCAGGCCAATCAAAGATTTTAAATTGCAGTCAAGGTGTTATTTCATCAACAGGTGATGAAGAATGATAATTATAATTGTAATCCTTCGCTGAGTTCTTTATAGATCTGGGAGTCTGGCCCAAAAATAGGTAGAATTTCCTTAATCAGGTCCTCAAAACAAGATTCAACGGGTCGGATTCTTCTACGAACAAGTAGTGAAACATCGCAGATCAAATCAAGAAGCTAAATCGAAAGCAAGACGACGTTGAGTTATGAGGCAAAATGAAACTTTTATGTAGTTCTTCGTGGATCTGTGCCCTACGTAGGAACAAGTGTTCCTACGGAAATCCCCTTAATTAGTTTCTAGGTTATGCGATTTGGATGGAAACAGACGTCTTCAGGTTCTCCGATTCGTCAACCCATCAAGTAAACGACGCATCTTCAGCAAACAAATCCGGAATCCAAGACATGTATTAGATCTAATCACTGGAAATTTAGGAGCTCCATCAGATGGTTACGTGCATCAGCCGGGAATCCTCTTCTTCCGTTGAGAAATAAACCTAAAAACATCTAAAAATTAGAAAACTTGTGTTCTTTAAATACCTGAGTTCAATCTTTGAGCTGCTGTCAGATCAAAAATCCAAATTAAAAACGTCTCGGCTGGTCGATCTTCAAGTAAATCCAATCAAGAAAACCCTGGAACCGGTAAGCGATGACAAATCTAGATCTTAGATCAAACAATCATAAAAATCCTTGACGATCCATGTTGAGCTTTAGATGAAACAATCGTTCGATTTGCTTGAATCAAAAGCCAAAATCAGCCGATCGAGCGTCGCTTTCTTCGATCGGCGATAACTTTAAGAAATCCGAGTCTTTGGAAGAAACCTGAAGGGTTGCGATCCGATTCGAGGGTGGTAGACTGCGGTGTTGATGGAAGAAATCGACGTATCTGATGATTTACTTATGGGGAGGTGATACCCTTGAATTTATCGTATATATCGAAAAAATTGAGAGCTAGTCTTATGTTGTACTTTCACTATTTTAGGCTTTTATTTTTCTTTTTCTTTTTATTTTTATTTTTATTTTTATTTTTTATTTTTTACATCCAAGGTAAAAAAAAAGTTTTTTTCTATTCTTTTATCTATATTTAAATTATTTGAGTTTTTTTCTGTCTGAAATGATTAGTTTTTTAAGAATATAACTATCAAAATAATAAGTATAGATCAATAGTATCGGTTGGATTCACATAAGACTCGTATGTTTTCGTGAGACCACATCTTTACACTTAAAACTTTACAACAAAACATTGTAAAAGTAAAAAGAAGCGGAACTTTCACAGTAAAAACAATGTGAAGGTTATATTCACAGCGTTTTGCTATGAAGTTTCAAGTATAAAAAAATAATCTTACGAAAACAGGTTGGTCTCACATGATCCCAAATTTCAATAGTATATTAAAAAAAATATAATATTTTATTTACTTATTCTGGAAACAATAAGAATAAGTAATTCAAGTCATGAAGATTTTTAGAAATCCATATTACTGTTTCTTGAATGAATGGATTATGTTTTGAAAACCTACCGATTTAACCTTTGCAACGAATAAATTCCATAGATTTATCTCAGTTTTTAAAATAATTTTAATTAAACAAATTATATAAATAAAAGAAGTAATTTATTTATTTTTATTTAATATTTATATTAGTATTATATTTTTTCAAATTTTAAATAAGTTATCAATACCACACGAATCCATTAAAAAAAAGTTTGAAGGGACAGAAAGTAAAACTAGGCAAAAATAGGGTTGGAGTTTCTTAATTTCAAAATTAAAATATGTCACGTTATATTTAATTTGAATAAATTAAAGTTTTAAAAACATAATTTTATATTTAAATTTCATTATCTTTTAAATTAATTTTTCAAAAATACATCTTAGTTATCGTCACACCAAAATATTAATTTGATTTACTTTACAAAAAAAAATTATTTAAGCCTCGTTTACCAAACACTTACTCGGTTTACTATCATTTATTTACCGGATATGATTTTAGTCCACCAAAAAGGTATCGTATGCAACAATTTACCGGGTAAGCGCTTACCGTGGTAAGAGTCATCACCTTCACTTACCGGGTAAGACTTTTGGTCATTGTCTCGCTCTTACCAGGTAGGATTCTTGATCCTTACCATATTCATCTGCTAAGGTAAAATGACTTGGTGTTCACTTACCCGATTAAGCATATGGTAAACAGCATTATTGGTCATTTAGGATAGTTAGATGGAATATGTGGTTTTTTGGTTGATTTATATTAATTATTATATGAATAAAGTTTATTGTGCGGATTAATTTATTTGTATAGATTGGTAAGGTTTTGTTTGAAGAGTTTTCGATAGATGAAAATAGCGTGTGTTTTTTTTAATTGGATAGGAAAGTTTGGGAAAAACTTGACTTTCTGTATAAAACTTTCTGAATAAGTCGCTTTCTGAATAAGTCGCTTTCTGAATAAGTCATTTTCTATATTATTAAACTACTACTAAACAGTCATGTATAGTTGACTGAATAGATTGTGAATACGATTAAGCTCATTAACTTGTTAACAAAACATGCCCTAACCCAACCCGACGAGTACTTAGTTCAACGACCTAATTGGTGATGAGAATGTTCGCATAACTAGGTCTCGGGTCTAGGGATAGAGATACATTCTCTCTATCCCATAGATGATGGTATTACCACCCATCCCAACCCCGGTATCATTACGTTCGCTGTTAATCTTTATTATTTCAATGTTTTTATTATGACACTGATCTTCAATTGTTGTGCATAATTAATCAATTATGAAATAGAATATCATATATTAATAACAGTGTATTAACTTATCTGAGTTTCTTCACAGAGATGTGTTTAGATGAAATCTATACAATATAGGAATTTAATGCGTTGTTATTAGGGATGGGTCGGGGTTGAGCCCATATTCCAAAGGGGAGGGGATTTGATTCCCTATATTTAGCAGGGACATGGACGGCAAAATCCGTCTCATTCTTATCTATGTACTTATTCCTTGTCTTCTATTGTCCTTCACTTATTTGAATGTCGACTTCTGACCGACACCTGAGGATCATTACAGGTGCGCAAAAAGTCACTCGATTCGATCAGCACCAACTGTAAAGTGAGATCGTCTTCTTCCAAACCATTTATCTTCATAACCACAATACCGTGTGATTTATCGAAATAGATAATAAACCGGTAAGTTCATTGGTGATTACAACGAAGAGGTGGAAACCATTGAATAAGATGCCATGTACAGTGAGCTAGCACAAATAGATATAATAAATGCGAGATTTCCTCATCATAACTATACTTAGAAGGAATGGTCTATGATCTCCAACATTGTTCAACAACATCATAAATACATACATATGGAACAGATACCAAGTTTTTTTTTTTTTTTTATTAACCTGGATATCCAACCCGCTATGCGAGCCGACTAATCCCAGGGCGACCACCTGCTTTGCAGATAGCCCGGAGTCACTGCATTTGAACCTCTGTGGCCACAAGGGGATTATGTTCCTCCTTGGATTTGAACATGTGATCTCCTGATACTTTTGACATTTGGAGTCAAGCTCAAACCAATCAGGCACCACCCTTGTGGTTAGATACCGAGTTTTAGTCATCATACTTGTTTCTACTGAAATGATTTCCTAAGATTATGTTTTTGTAAGTACATAATATTTATATACATCAAATAGAACAAATAAACTTACACACATTCCTCACCTTTGGTGAGGTTTGAACCTCTGACCTACTATGAGGCCAAAGACTCACATACCGCTAGGTCAAAGACCCTTACCTTCTAAAAATCTGTTTGTTGGCAGCTTAATAAGCTTAATGATATTTACAATTTATCCAGTCAGCTATACATAATTGTTTGATAGTGGTTTGATGATATAGAAAGTGGTTTATTCAGTAAGCTTCCAAGGGAAGTTTTTCGCAGAAAGCTAAAAAATTTCCAAACTTTTCCCTCCCGGTAAAAGAAAACGTTAATTCCATCTATGAAAAAAAAAACACTCTCAAACAAAAAGCTTCTCGATCTATACAGAAAGATTAATTCACACATACAACTCTATTCATACATGACTTAATGGAAAATCAAACAAACCTAATGCTAGTTATTGCTCATACTCAAACAAAACTTCAGTTATATGATCTGTTCACAAAGGTTTTGCCCCTATTTGACAAACATAAATATTTTTTTCTAGAAAAGCTACCTCAGTTAGTTTCTTGTGTAAGCTCCAATTTTTTTAATGTATTACTTTTTCCAACTTTGTCCCGTATATGTTGGAACTGGATAATTTTTGAACATGTTATTTTAGATCATTTTATATTGTCAATAACTTATAAGCTAATTTATATCAAACATCAGTATCTTATTAATCAAGAACTAATTTTCAACTGGCAACTAGTTTATTAACTAGTTTGGCAAATATAAACTTACTTTTATGGTTCTACCTTTTCTTTGTTGTTTCCCAAGTTGGCCATTTGAGACATTGACTCTCCCAACTTGATAACAGTACAAGAATAGTTCTGTAATGTTGGTTGGTTTCTCAATAGAATTGTCTTAGCAAGGTAGACGAGATGTGAGAAGGAGAGTTAAGGTGAGAAGTAGGGTAAACATATAAGTATCTGGTTTTCCATCTATGGCTAGAGTTTAATAAATTGATAAACATATATATGTTCACAATGTGTTTGCTTAATAAGTATCCGGTTTACAAAGTGAAACATTTTTACAGGTAACTTTTGTTTTTCACAATTAGTATTCACATTGTAAAAAATATATGTTAATCAATATTCTAAGTTTTAGTTTTAAATGAAAAAAAATCATATTAAATAACACATGATGTACTAATTCTCAACATTATATATATATATATATATATATATATATATATATAAAGAGAGAGAGAGAGAGAGAACTTTGAAAAACAAAACCCGGAGAACCACGAAAAAACGGATGAAAAAATATATCAAAATGGATGTCAAATTAAAGATAATAAAGTGGTTGTTTTTTTGGTGTAATTTGTTAACTCCGTTTTCTAGTATTTCATTAATTTTTAATTTAAAAAAAAATGAAGGGGAAATATTTGTATTTTTTTAAAAAGTTGTTATAACCACATTTTTAATCACACTCGTTGGATCATTTCAATCCAATAGTTTGGATGGATTATTCGGATTTTTTACAGAGTTCTCCTCCGATCTCATCCCTATATATGTGTATGTGTGTATATGCATAAACTAGAACACCTCTATTTTACGAAAACAAGAGAATACTCTTATCACATGTGATAACACAAGTGAGGGCACCCTCTGGTTATAGACAACTTGGCTCGCTCGTGACCTAAAGTCATGCCAAAGGTCGTTTACGTCACCAATTTAGTATCACATCAAGAATACTCATATCACATGTGATAATATATGTGAATGAGCCTAGTAGATGCGGGTGACTTGGCCTAGGTTGTGCTAAAGATCGTCCAGGTCACTAATTTAGTATACATCTATATCATGTGATGTACTATATTATCACATGTAACTGACTATAATAAAATGATGTTATTGCATTTTCCTAAAAGGAAAGTGTATGTGTATAGAGGCCTCATCAAATGCCAACCAACCAAATGTTACAAACTAATTTCAACCGTCCATATAGTCTGAGGAATATCTAGTTTCATAAATATATCGATTGTTTCTTAATATAAAATGTTAATCATAATTAATGAACTCTAACAAGGGTGGTGTCTAATTGATTTGAGCTTGACTCTAAATGTCAAAAGTACCAGGAGGTTCCAGGTTCAAATCCAATGATGAATAAAAATCCCCTTGTGGCCATGGAGGTTTAATTGCGGTGACTCCGAACTATCTGCAAAGTAGGTGGTCGCCTTAAGATTAGTCGGCTCGCATAGCGGGTTTGGATATCCA